CAAGATTGGTCCAAAGTATGGATCAACAGATAATGATTCTCGTAAAGAATCAAAACCCAACACTTGATTTCTCTTGGTTGTAAGAAAATTCGCCCCTTCTACTAAGAGCATTTGCTACTCGGTTCATGGCTCCTGATTTGTGCTTTATAACAAAAGTAAATTGCTGCAAATAGGACGCCCACTTAACATGTGTAGCAGAGAGTTTGTCTTGTGAATTGATGTGCTTTAGAGCCTCGTGATCAGAATACAAAATAAACTCATTATGTGCCAAATAATAACTCCAATGCTTGAGGGCTTGAACAACAACATAAAATTCCACATCATATATGCTATAATTCATTTTCGACCCACTCAATTTCTCACTATAAAATGCTACAAGTCATCCCTCTTGGCTCAACACAGCCCCAATACCCACTTTGGATGCATCACAATGCAACTCAAATGGTTTGCTAAAATCAGGCAAATTGAGAACTGGTGCACCGATAAGTTTCTTTTTGATATTGTGAAAAGTTGTCATAGCCTCCTCGGTCCATTTAAATTTTCCAATCTTCATACAATCTATTATAGGAGCCATGATAGCACTGAAATTATGAATAAAGCGTCTATAGAAAGAGACTAATCCATGAAAGCTTTGAACATCATGCAAATTCTGTGGTAATGGCCAAGCTTTAATTGCTGCAACCTTGGATTCATCCACAAAAAATCCTGTCTTTTGACACAACAAACCCAAGAAACAGAACCTTATCCATCATAAAGGAGCACTTCTTTGCTGCTGCATAAAAATTTTCATTTCAGAGTACCGTCAAGACTTCTTTCAAATGTTGGAGATACTTCTCAGGATTTTTGCTATAGATGAGAATGTTGTCGAAATAAACCACCAGGAACTTTTCAATGAACGGGCAGAACATCTCATTCATCACCCTCATGAATGTACTCGAACATTGGAAAGGCCAAAAGGCATAACCAGCAACTCATACAATCCTTCACGGGTTTTGAATGATGTCTTCCACTCATCTCCCTCCTTGATCCGAATTTGGTGGTACCCACTCTTCAAATCCAGCTTACTAAAAATTGTAGCACCACTCAATTAATCTAGTAAGTCATCCAAACAAGGGATGGGAAAGTGATAGCGTACCGTGATTTTATTAATGGCTCTACTATCTGTACACATACACCAAGTATAATCTGCCTTTAGTGTAAGCGATGCCGGAACAACACAAGGGCAAAGACTCTCTCGAATGTGTCCCTTCTTCAACAATTCCTCTACTTGACGTCGCAACTCTTCATGCTCTTTGGGACTCATTTGATAATGTGGTCTGTTTGGCAAAGTGGCACCAGGCACTAAATCAATTTGATGTTGAATGCTACGCAATGGTGGCAACCCCACGAGCAACTCTTCAGAAAAGACATCCGGAAACTCCTCAAGCAGTACTTGTACATGCATAGGAATTGCTGACATATAACCAGAACAATCCTTACTAACCAGTAAATAAACAACTCCCATTTCTTGTGCCTCTTTTATGAACTTTGTCATGGTCAACAATGTAGTCGACCCTTTGTTTTGAGAGAGCTTTGGAACATGTTCTCTAGTAGGCAAAAGGGTGATTTCGATATCATTAAATATAAAGCTATAGGTGTTTTTCCATCCGTCGTGCATCACGTGTCTGTCAATTCCCAAGGCCTTCCCAAAAGAATATGGCAAGCATTCATTAGCACGACATCGCACCACACTTTATCTTTATCATTGGTGCCAATAGAGAAAAGTACAAAAGCTCGCTTTGAAACTGTTACCTCATTAACCTTCTGCAGCCAAGAAAGCTTATATGGTCAAGGATGTTGATGAGTTTCGAGTCACAACTTGTTCACTGCTTATTCAAAAATAACATTTTCGCAGCTTCCAAAATCAATCACCAACCTACAAACCTTCCCACCCATGGCACATGTCGACTAAAATATGTTATGTCGGAGCCATCCATCATCCTCTTCAGTTTCCCGTGGTGTAAAGCATGTTCTTCGCACCACGAGTAACAGGCCTTCATCCCCAGTCACAAACTCCTCCATGGCAGCATCATCTTGAACATATTCATCATAAACTGGAGCTTGTTCTAAATCATGATATTCTGTGAATTGAGCACTTTCACCCTATGTAAACAATACTTTGCTAGTTTTTCCTCCTTTTGTGCAAACAACCATTCGATGTCCATATTCCCCACAATTAAAACAACGACTAGCACCTCGTTCAGGACCCACAATCTGTGCTCTCCCTAGAGTTGTATTTGAGTTTGTCCTCATGTTGTGAACTTAGGGAGCTAGCAAACGACTAGGGGCTGAATTGCTCACACCATCTTGATTATTAAAACTGCTTGCAGCCCATGTGCCGCCATTATTTGCCTTTCGACTCATCTGCTTTTCTATCTGCAAGGCTCTTTGATGCGCTTCAGCCACAGAAAAATGATCAAATAAATTCAAAGTATCTTGAAATGGAATACGGAGGCCCCCAATATACCATGACACCATTTACTCCTCTGTTTCAACAATATCACTTCGAGCTATTAATTGATAGAACTCAATAGTATATTCAGTTACCGTTCGATTTCCCTGCTTCAAATTTTGGACCTGTTGGTAAACCAGCCTTGAGTAATTGGGTGGTAGGAAAGTCATGTACATGTGCTTCTTCATTTTCTCCCAAGTTTCAATCTTGTTCTTTCCTTGTCGTGATCTAGTCATCTTCAATTGTTGCCACCAGTTTGAAGCACGCCCTCGCAATCTAGTTGCTACAAGGGATACCCTCTTATTCTCAGGGACATCCTTGAACTCCAATACCTCCTCCACATAATTGAGCCAATCTAGGAACTGTTCAGGTTGAATGCTTCCGTGGAATTCAGGAATGTTAATTCTCAATCCTGACTCCCAACGCCTAGTATCAAAACTCTCAAATGGTCTCATGACTTCCCTCTCATTTCCTTCACTGAATGGAGTTGTGTTCTCATCATAGTTCTCTTCTTCTTCCCGTTGTCGATCGAGCAAAGTCTCCATTTGTTGCATAAGTTGCTCAACCTGTTGTGCTAATTGCCCAATAACTTCTCTCTCGTACACATCATCATGGTTAGGCCCCCGTCCCAGACCCCTTCCACCACGACCCCTTCTTGGTGGCATGATGGAATATGGCTCTGATGCCAACTAATGCAGCGGATAATATAGGGAAAAGGAAACAAGCTCTAAAATACAATAGCCCTTAATTCTTGTTGATTCTCACACAAAGAATAGCCAAGAACAAAGGAAATATATGCCTTGTTGATTCCTATGCAATGCCCAAGTTGATAGAAGGGAAGAGAAAAAAACTCTTGCTTTTCTTTCACATTCAAAAAACTGCCCAGTCCTCTAGGCTTACAAGCAAATATAAGATGAAAAGACAGAACCCCAAAAGCCAAACCCATCATTAATTCTAATACAATGCATCAATATTTATTTAGATATAAATGCCTAGATGAATGTATCTTATCCCAATGTATTTGCCTCAGAATCAATCTAAAGTTATTGTACCAAATATCAATCAATAAGTGCGACTTTATTCTACTTTTTTTGTTCATATGTATTGGTATACTAGATACCATACATGCATGTATTTTCAACAAACTGTATCAGCCATATCATAAAATTGAGAAGTTAGTTTTAATTATTTCATCATTATTATATAAAAGATTTTTGTTGGACATGAGATCTTGCTTGCGTTTTTGTACATTTTAATCCCATGATGTATTTCTAAAATAAATAAATAAAAAGATAAATGAGCGTAGTTTAAGTTATTTGATTAAATTTTAACTATTGTATAAACGTGATTTATTATTCTCCTTTATGATAGATTAATCTTTCTTGGATAAGCTGGTTGGAATAGCATCCTTCTCATTTAGGTTAAAAATCAGAATTTACTTCTAGTAATTTACTTCTAGTGATTTAGATGATTTAGAAAATCATTGGTATATAAAAAGGATATTATTTGGTAAATAGTGTAATTTATTTACAACTTTTTCAGGTTATTCCAAGAGAAGCAAGAAAATTCGATCTTGGGGAAACCAGATACTATGTGGTGCTGGTATTTAGTGCTATATTATGGCAAGGTTTTTTTCTGGGAGCCATAGGAATCATCTTCTGCGCCTCATCTTTGCTTTCGGGAATTGTGATTGCTTCTTTAATCCCCGTAACCCAGATCCTAGCAGTTATTTTTTACCATGAAAAATTCCAAGCAGAAAAGGGAGTCTCTCTTGCACTCTCTCTCTGGGGATTTATCTCTTACTTCTACTGGCGAGAGAAAACACAACAAGCAAAAGGAAAAGGAAAAGAAAATGGAAACCGAAATTGCAGAGAAAAAGAAAGACACACCAGAAACAATACAAGTTCCTCAGCAGGGAACCCTAGCAACTCAGCAGTCACAAACCCTAGTTGGAGTTTAAGAACGAGGGGGAAGGCCACCACTGCCGTTTGGGCGGCAGCACCCATATTATCATTTCCCTTTGGTATTCATATTTTGGTTGAAAATAAGTTGTAAATTATTAGGCAACGTTTTATGCGTTAAAGAATTTCTAAGCTCTAGTTATGTGTGCATGTCTTGATTAATTATGAAAAACAAATCTTAGTATGACTAAGGTCAAATTATCAAATTGTTTTAGGCATTACCAAATTCTTCGATTTATTTAAGTTGCTTAATTAATATTAGTGATGACAATTTTTTTTATTTTTTATTTTTCCAAACGATAGCCAGCTGCAGTTGAAGGATTACTTCTAGGTTTCAATATATCTAACAAGCATGCATGACAAGAAGCATAAATTAAGGGCTCATATGTACTAGTCCGAACTTGCGCAATCGAATGTTAAAGCATTTAAACAGGGCATCATATTTTTAAATTATGGGTCACCAAAATATTTGCAATGTACATTTCCTTCATGTAAATCCTCAACAACTCCAATTAACCTGTACGAACTTTCATCCTGCCAAAGAATCATTGAGCCAATAATTGGACAATCATTATTTTCAAACTTTGAGATTTCAAAGTTGCACTTCTATACAACCAAATTGAGCAGATTAAAATGGACGGTAATAAAAGGGTGGGGAATGTGCTGACTAGTCATGAGAAGATTGGTACCTTTAATTAACAGAACTCGGAAGAATGGAAAAGTCTATGTATCTCGATCAAAATTGCCTGGGGCCAGCATTCACCCCATGGATTTGTTCAGCAACAAAAGAATCAATATGAATATCGAGAGTTCGAGCATAACCCTAGGCTTCGAAACACGTTCAAGGATTCTCTGAAACCTGTAAGTTCAACCAGTAGATAGCTGCTGATAAAGCCTGTTATCCAGTTAAAGATAATCATCACTATCAGAAAATGACAAAGATTCACCGATAATCGGTAATTCAGCCAATTGATCTATATGCTCATTTGACTTCCACCAAGCTGTTTTGAACATAAAATTCACAGGATGAGCATTTTACAATGCCTTCCACCAGTTACATTTAACAAACATGAATAGAGGGTTTGGCTGACACAAATTAAGGATATGAGGTTAACATTTTCTTCATATTAGAAAAGCAGGAACTTTAAAACAGTTAAGAAACTAAAGGGGTGATACGTGTATCTTACCCTAGAATCTAATCCGTGGCTTAAACACTATCACATTACAAAAGCAACTAAGTACTGTTTAAAATATATATGTTTCTGGGGGGAAAAAATAATCATATAACAAGCATTTTATGAGTAAATGGCCTACCAATCTCTTTCATTGGAACTGGAAGTACCGTCTCCATGGATAATTTCCTCCTTCACAAATTCTTCTAATATAGCACGTTGCCGTTCGTTGATTTCACTTTATTATAGAAAAAAGATGAATGAGATAAAAGCATTCTCATAGCTCAGTAGTGTAGAACTAACTGCAACGTCAAAAAACCATTGAACCCAGATCTACAATTCGTTAAAGTACAGTAATATAGAACATCATATCAGTCTTAAAATGTACTCATCATGCAACAAAAGGACTTCCTCTAAATGTCTGTGAAGATTATATATGTAGTTGAGTAGAAATTAATCTAGAAGCCATACGACAGCCAACACCAGGAAAAGAAATTGACAGAACTGTGTATGAGCTCCAGTGATGCCTTAAGCCTGTCGGCCAGTTACAAGTTTAACCAAGAGTATGCTAGTCAGTAGTCTCTGCCAGATAATGCCACAAATCATTCACAGAGCAAAGCAGAGGTGGGTGCTGATTTTAATTCAACTTAGGTACTTGAGCACAGGGGTAATCAGCAAGTAGCTCAGTTTTTACTTGATCAGTGTAAACGTGCATTTTCATAAATCTAAACAGTTATTTAGGGAAAAAAAAAAGTATAAATAAACACCAATTAAAACACAGTATGATCTAAAGGGCTCAAGTCATAATCATATTACAAATGTAGTACGTTTGCAGACAGTGCCAAAAACCAATGTGCAGACAACAAAAAAGGGAAAAGTCATCATATTAAGTCGTAAACATATGATATACAAAATCATAAAGACAGCTTACGTGGGAAATTTAACACGGAATCGCACATATTGATCTCCATGCTTAACTAGGAAACCATGTTTTGGCAGTCCTGCAACAACATACTGGCTAAGCAAATTTCAAGGAAAAAAAAAAGGTACTAAATTTTCAGCAGTTGAAAAGAATGATTTAGTTACCTTTGCCTCTTAGTACCAGATGTTGTCCAGGCTGAACCCCCTTTGGTATCTAACGGGTCCATGATTACAAGGAAGAGTCAGTTCGTAGGATCAAGAAGAAAGTGGAACAGATAGAAATATGAAGACAAGCAGAATTGAAAGAGAAAAGTAATCAATAGGCAAAACTGAAATCCAATCACAAGAAGAAGCCAATCTATATGGTAAGTCAGCTATACAGTCTCATTTGGAAACACCAATATTTGAATCCATAAAATAAATATTCAGCCTAATTCACACTATAATCTGCCCCTAAACAAATAAGAACGTTGCCACAATGACCGCCATCATAGTGGGAACAGGGCGGTTGTAAGATTAGCCAAAGGATAAATGATCAGTTTTCCAATTTAACTACATATGTTTCTTTTAACATATAGCATATTGGGTTTACCTCTCATTCTTTAGTATTTGTTTTAGTACATAAATCCTCATTTAAAATTCAATATTGCCCACACGGAAGAAACAAAGAACTTAAAAATCATGCTGAGACTGGCATACAACACATTAGATTCCTGACCTTAACAATTTTTTAATTTTATTTTCAAATATCAGCAGGATGGGAAGACTCCAGAGCTACTCTGCATCTTATACTCAGCTTTAGACCATATCATACACATCCAATGTATCCAATTCAAGATCCCTAAACCCCAAACTCATGCCATGTAGTTGGACGTACTTCATAAAGTATCAAGTTGCCTAACAGAACTAACAAAGCTCACTTATTTGGTGACTACACAGAAAAGTATTGCCAACAAAGTTTCAAGTTATTTAGATACTGGAGGTTAGAATAAAGAGAAAACTCTTACTTTTACTTCTATAATCCCAGACAAAGTTGGTACCTCAACCGTACCACCAAGAATAGCCTGAAATATTCAAACTTCAGCATCAAAAGTAATATTTAACGCTTGTAGAAACACTATATCTAAATGGGACAAAAGGACAACGAAATTGCCTTCAATGCCTACTGGAAAATAACTTGCATTAGATACTTTATCCTTTTGTTTTTTGGGCACGAATAAATAGTTAGAGCAAACATGGAAGTTGACAAAAGAAATAGTATTAAGTTTTTAGAAAGAGAAAAGAAAACAATAATGAGGATGCTAAAAGTAAATTTGGAAAAGAAAAAAGACAAAAATATAACATCATATGATACTAAGAGGAAAGCACCAGAAGTTGCCAAAAGAAAGTATATCATCAAGTGGAAATAAGGTGGCTGTTAGGCGTATCAAACCAAGGAATCATTCTCACTTGTGTAAAGCTAATATTAGAGTCCACATAAAGATCTGCACCATCTCTAGCAAAGATAGGATCTTCATCAACCTACACCAAAGAGAAAGGGAATTTGACAAGGCATATCAGGATACACATTCGCAACCATACTAGCTTCTATACAATTAGTCACTTGAATGCAAGCCTTCATTGGATCAAGTTCAAATAATCATATGCTGTGATAAAATTCCAGAAGCTCGACACAATTCCAGCTTGTCCTCTTATTAAGGGCAAGCAAAGTATTAAGTCCTCCACAACACTTTATTAGAACATGCTATAAAAGAAATAGAGTAAGTCGTGCCTTTATTTTAATGTATAGCAAGCCTGCCTCACTTCCTCGTGCCCCACTATTCCCAGCCTCTGGAATGCTGATTGTATCTCCAGACTCCACACCTATTTGAGAGAGAGAGATAGAGAGATTATGAAAGTTCAATTTTGAAATCACAACATATGATAAAATCTGGACATTGCTACATCATGATGACTCGAATCTACCCTCTCTTAATCCAGGGCACTCAGTTTCACATTGAGTGCACTTGAATGCACTCAGTATGTTTGTCTACAGTTATATCATTTTTTTACACTGGAGATAGAATTAAAAATAAGAGTAAACCAAATAATATCATACATAATAGCAAACAAGCATAGCAAAGCAGCTTCTTTTGTATAAATTCTTGACAAGATTGTCCATGTTTTCTGAACTTATATTCAATTGACCTTCTAATTCTGTCTCCCCATATAAATATACGATACCAGTTCTCTATAGCCAAATGATATTTATGTAACACAAATGGGAGAGTATACTGATCAGAAAACCCATTGTTCAACCCCCGTTAATCAAATCAAACAATCTATTACCAACCTGCTGGTATTGAAACTTCAACCTGTCTAACACCTTCAACAATCCCTACTCCTCTGCATGACAAGCAATGTTCCTGCGACAGGTAGATAAATTAAACACCAACAATATTATTTACATCAATCAATTTACCAAAATACTCTTCTCATTGGGAATCAAGTTAAACCTTGATTATTTGGCCGGATCCTTTACACGTACTGCATGTTGATGTGAATGGAGGAATTGTAACCTGGTAGGAGATTAAACGTCAGAACAGACTATTGTAGTTAATAATTTGTCACACTTGTAGAATGAAAAATATAAAATAATCATCTGCTTAAACTGACTCCCTTTAGAAGAAATATTCCCATAATCATAATCAGTGTGGATCTTTAAGACTTACTCTCCCAATACCTCTACAAGTAGGACAAACTTTCGTCTTGGCATTTAGTGGATAGCCACGCCCATCTGCATTATGAAATATAAGGTACTAGAGAAATTACTTATAACATGGGACTAATTGATCATGAAAACAAACAATGCAAAACTATGAATCCAAAGATGTGTGCAAACTTTTCGCCAATAATCTTGTTTGAATTATTGTTTGTCATTCCGATTAAACAGCGGAGTTATTCGTCACTCTCCTGATAGCAGGGTTTTGCTTAATACCATCCGAATACAATTTTTCTGTCATAATGGTTCTAGTTTACAGGCATTTCTTCTTTCACACATGTTCTTTTCTATCCTAGGTGATGATAGCATGTCGCTAGAATACTTTATTTGGGAACTTAAGATCAGATTTGTGATTTGGGGAGGGAACTTTAAAATGGATTGTAGAAGTTCAAAATCTTATCTTAAAGTAGACCAAGACAGCTGTTAATCCAGAATTCAAAGATAATTGGACTTTAATAGCCAGAACCTTGGACTCTGATCACACCCAAACCTCGAAACACTAACAGTTGACTCCCAAGTCCATAGATGCCCAAGCCGTGGACCCTAGAGCGCAAAAATCAGACCTTATGCACAAATCCCACACGACAAACTCAAACCTAAACCTCATAAACTGAACACAACATCCCAAACATAAACCCTGGATTTCAGACACAAACCCCGATGTCCAGCCAGACCCCTGAACTGGGACACATATTCCAGACCAAACAAGAATGAGAAATTCCAACACACTTCCCATCGTGAAATATCATAGTCACACATAATGGGAAATATCAGAGTCCAAAAAAGTGGTTCCTTCTACGACTAAGCAACAGAATTTATGCTAAACACTAGCCATGATTCTTAATTTCTTTACAACCAAATAATATAAAATTATATTAAAGAAAAAGAATATAAAAGAAATCCATTACCAATCTTCCATATAAAAGAGTAAATAAATAGTGGTCATCTTTATGGTCAAAAGTTTTCAAAAGACACAAGGATAATTTTTGAGATCTATGTTATATTTAGAGATTTGCTATTAAAACCCGCAATCAGATCTTAAAATATTTAATCTACTCACGGCAAGAATCACAGGGAACGTGTGAATTGACAGAGAGATGCTTTGTGCATCCTTTAACAGCTTCAGAGAAAGAAAGTGACAACTCCACCTAACACATTAAAAACATTAATCATTTCATCTTGGAAATACAGAAGGTGAACCACATGAGAAGTGTGACCATAAGCGAACCAAGCTTACCTGGATATTTGATCCAACTTGATCAAACTCATGTTCAAAGATCTGCAGTATCAAGTGTCTATCAGAGTAACGAAGATTAATGGTTTCAACATGCTGCAATTATGTTTGATGATAGAACAGGCACTGACATACCTCTTGGAATATTTTATGGAATGAACTGGAAAAATTAGGTTCAAAACCATATCTAAACCCCTCTGCATCAGCAGTACCGTGACTCTGATTCTCATACCTAAACCCATCTGCACCTCCAGCTGTATATCCTACGTTTTCTGACCCACTTGAACGCTTCTTCATTGGACAGAAAGAACAATTGAGTTAGATCTAAAAACAGTATATGGGATTAAGGATTTTTATTGCAAAGAAGCTATTAAACTTTTGATGGAAAAAGCACAACATGCACACCACTTTCTTCCATGTACAAGAAAAATAAAAACTGAAATAAAGGGAGAATAATCGAAGATGAGTACTCACTAAATAGATTTTCAACTTTTTTACTACAAAAACTAGCTAAAACAATGTGTAGTGTTTGTGTGGGTATGAGAGAGAGAGAGAGAGAGAGAGAGAGAGAGAGAGAGACGGAGTTATTACCCTGTCATATTGTGCCCTCTTTTCAGGATCTTGCAAAGTCTGGATTTAACAATGAAAAAATAAGATTAAAGGAAATCCTACACATCAAAATTTATGATTGCTTAAAAAATATTACAAGTTTTGGTAATTATGGGATTACTAAGCAGGGTGACCAGTTTGAAAAATTCATACAGAAACAGAATTTGGGTAAAATGCAACCCGGCCACAAGTCAAACCTCATAGGCATCTCTTATGTCTTGAAATTTTCTTTTAGAAGAAGGATTGTCCCTATTTGCATCTGGATGGTATTTCTTGGCAAGCTGCATTCATAATAGTGTAAAAAATTAAGATACTTTTATCATGGAGAATTACGCAACAAGTTACTATATAATCAGATAAGAAGAGAGGAAAGAAACACGAAAAGGGAAATGACATGATCAGCATTATTGCACATTTTACATTCCAACTTAATACTTCGTACAATATTCATTTGTGTCGAAAAAGTTCCTCCAAGTCCACATCCAACCAGAACTTTTTTCTTTCGAACAAGCAAATGCATTTTAAACTGAACCAGACGCTGAATTAACATGTTAAATTATCAACATTGTTCAATGTATATGGTGAATACTATATGCAATGTAATAGCTTTCGCCACAGCATTCCTTCTATTCAAACCAGACCTCAAAATTACACCCAAAATCCTTCATAGAACTACATACATGCAACTGAAAATAAAACTGACCGTGCGAAATGCTTTTTTAATCTCATCTCGGCTTGCATTTTTCGAAACACCAAGAGTCTCATAATAATCTCGTTCAGCTGCTCGGCAAAACCCTGCAAAGATATCAACTTTAAGCCAGAAACCCAAAAGATTCTGTTTCCTACTCCCTGCTATAGAGAGAGAGAGAGAGAGAGAGAGAGAGAGAGAGAATGTGCGAAAACCTGAGGCATGGAAATAACGAATTCCTAATGTGCTAGCCAAGCCAGCCACCGACCCGCCGGAGCTCGAACCTAAGTTCAAAGATCATAGAAATTAAGACCGATTGGGAGTTCTCCTAACCGCAAAACAATCGGGTAAGAACAGGAAGTCGATAAAGCTCACCAGGTGTTCGATAAAATGCCTCACTGAGCGAGGAGAGGCTCCGGGTCCAATCTGCTTGATCAATGGGCGATTCTGCCGCCACCGACGACACCAGCCGCCTCCGAAGCTGCATTTCCAATACATATATAAACTCCGCTAATAAAGCAAAATTCATGAAGAACAACAGAATCAGTGGTCGAGTTCGCGTCGCTCACCAGGCCGAGGAAGCTTGAGCTTCGCATTTTCGAGAGGTGTTTGGATCGACTACTGTGATCGATGAAGCTCCAAATACTTTAATTTTGGGATTTTTGTTTGCAATTTGCGAGACGAAGAAGAATCGGAAAGCGAGAGCGACGGTCCAATTCGGGTTATTTCACCCGCCACCGACGGGGTTTTGTTTCAACACTTTGCGTGCCCGGGGGGTTTAAGTCTTTAAAACCACGAAAACGGTGCCGTTTCGCGTAACATATTCTGGGACTGGGACCCACCAAGTACAGTCCTTGCTCTTCCTTAAACCCCAGCAGAGACTTGCTGTGAATTCGGCCGTCTTGGACTTCCATGGCTGGCCGTGAAATCTTCGCCGGCATGAGACGATGGGTCCCGCATTTTGCAAGCTCGGCAAGGCGGAGGCCGCTGTCATCTCTCTGCTCTTCGTCTTCGCCTTCGTTTTCGTCAGTCGATAGGCGCAGGGACGACAATCTTCAGAGCAAGATTATGGGGCTGAGAAAACCGGACCGGAGCGCAACCACCGTGATTCAGAATTGGGTCGACAGAGGCCACGGAGTCTCCGTTCTCGAACTCCGCCGCGTCTCCGTTCAGCTCCTGAAGTCTAAGCGCTTCAACCACGCTCTCCAGGTTTCAATTTTTTTCATGTTTGCTCAAAATGTTCTTAAAGTTTGTAAATTAGGACACTCTGCAGATTTTTTTAGTTAAAGTCCTCCATCTTTACATAAAAATTTGGAAACTTTGTCAATTTAGAAGGAGAAGAGTTGCATAATCCATGGTTGAATGGGGTTAGTTTTGAATTTGTAGATTGTGTTTATGATGATACCAGGTGCTAACATGGATGGAAACCCGAAGCGATTTTCGAATGTCGCCGGGTGATCATGCAATGAGGTTGCAGTCAATCATAAATGTGAATGGTATGTTGGAAGCTGAAGAGTATTTTGAGCAACTTAGCACTGCTTCAAAAAAAGCTGCTTGTCTCCCCCTTCTTCATGGTTATGTTGTGGAGAGAGACACGGAGAAAGCGGAGGCGCTCATGCTGAAGCTTGGCGGGTTGGGGCTCATTGTGAACCCTAACCCGTATAACGAGATGATGAAGCTGTATATGTCCACATCTGACTATGGGAAAGTGCCCCTTGTTGTACAGCTAATGAAGAAAAACAAGATACCCTTAACTGTTTTATCCTATAACCTTTGGATGAATGCGAATGCAAAGCTATCTGGTTTTGGTTCGGTGGAGATGGTTTATAAAGAAATGTTGAATGATAACAACGTCGAGGTTGGATGGAGCACTCTGTCTACTTTAGCCGGTATCTATATGAAGGCAGGGCTTGTTGAGAAAGCCAGTTTCGCCCTGAGAAGTGCTGAAAAGAAGCTGTCTAATTGCAATCGCCTTGGTTATTCTTTCCTCATTACACAGTATGCGTCTTTAAATAGTAAAGAGGATGTTCTGCGACTTTGGAAAGCTAGTAAAGCAGTAGCTGGGAGAATTCCATGTACCAATTACATGCAGATATTGTTGTGCTTGGTGAAGTTAGGTGATATTGTGGGAGCCGAGAGGATTTTAATGGAGTGGGAGTCCAATTGCTTTAGTTATGATATTCGAGTCTCCAATGTCCTTCTTGGTGCATATATGCGGAATGGAATGACTGAGAAAGCTGAGGCATTGCATCTACACACATTGGGGAGAGGAGGTCAACCAAATTATAAGACATGGGAGATCCTTATGGAAGGACGGTTGAAAAGCCAGAACATGGACAAAGCCGTTGAAGCGATGAAAAAAGGGTTTTGTATGTTGCAAGATTGTCATTGGAGGCCATCGGAGGAAACTGTAATGGCCTTTGCCGATTATTTTGAAAAGCATGGGAACATTGAGGATGCAAATTGGTATATCAGAGTTATACGTTCATTCGGTTTTGCAAGTTTGACATTATACAAATCACTGCTTAGAATGCACCTTTCCGCTCAGAGATCAGCCTCTGACATCCTGAAGATGATGGAGGAGGAGAAAGTCGAGATGGATGAAGAGACTTTTGCCCTTGTTCAAGCCTTCAGGGTGTGACTATAATTGTAAACAGCATAGTTAGTAAAATACAAAACAGGTACGTGAATACCTGTATTATTCGGCAACTTTGCTAAAATAATACCTTGAAAAATTCGGCGAGTATTTTTTTATTTTAATATTTATTTATTCATTCAAACCTAATTATACAAATATCTTTGTAATATGCGTATTTTATGTGAATTCACTAACTATAGTAAACAGTTCTGCATGGTAACTTAGGCTTCCTGTGAAGGCTCACGGGACAGTTTAATGCTTCTCTGACTGTTTGTGGGTGAATCAAACTCAAAGCAGCAATTGTTCTTCGTTACTTAAAGTGGGAGAGAAACATTGATCCTAGTCTCTCCAGTTTTCTCATTGTTCATGAACTTTAAGGTTAATTTTCCCTGCTATTATCTCTTTAAAACGCTGCGGAAATGCAAGCATTTTACTCGTATTTTACCTATTTATTTGTTTATGATATCCTGAACTGAGCTGATGCCCATGTTATTCCTCGTACATAACCAGTTTTGTGAATGAATTGGTGATAAAAATATGCAGGGACCAGTGAGAGATGCCATCGAACTCTTCAACTTGATGGAGCTGTCAAGATCTTGTGAAAGCCTGAAAGCCTCTTTTGTGCTCCAGCAATATTTCTTGAGGGGCCAGGCATTGTTTGAGAACAGGAGCCCCGAGAACTCTTCCAAACCAAGCGTTGAGCAGTGGCAGGGTCTCGGTATCAATTAGGTTTAAGTAACGAAGAACAATGATTGCCGGCAGCTATGTCCACAAAGCCAATTGTTTCTCCTCCGAAGAAGTTCTTTCCTGCAAGTGCACTTTCCAAGATCTTAAGGTTCTGTCGAGCTTCTTCAGCAACATTCTCTTTGTCCTCCCCTTTCCTGGTGAATGCACTCATAATTGCCGGCACACACTGAAACAAAGAACAATAAATGGTCCTTAGTCCGTCAAGAGGATGACCAAATTTTGAATGCTTGTGTTTTTGTGGAAATTACAAAGTCGTCGTGAGCTTTTCTGTCGTGCAAGAAATTTCCTAGTAGTCCTGCATTCGAATGCTAATTAAGCCAATTGGTGCTTGTGAATTGTATGAACGAAACATTATTGCTCATTCGGTTACCTTTTCATCTGCAAATTTGGCCCAGAAGCGTTCACGTGCCCTTTTTGTATGAATTTAATTATATGTGAATTTAAAAAATAGGTACTTTACTTCTTATATTGGCTAGATTGGATTAATGGTCCCGGTGCTAATAGGATAATCGAAAGATAGCATTTGTGGTGAAAAAAATCGGATTTAAAACCATCATGGTGGTTTGTTAGAATTCATGCCCAAAATTATGATCGAGTACAAAATCGACATTATGCAGCTTACATTGTTCCTCAACAAGAAATGAATCCTTTAAATAGATGGAATTAGAAACTTAATTACCTATAAAACTTGTGTTCATATCAAGTTTGGGAAAGAAATAAGCATGTTCATATCTAATTTGAGAGATAATAGAGTAATCGAAAAATAACCTCGTGGTGAAAAATTTGGATAAGTATCCGTTAAGTCTATTTAAGTCTCTCAAATTAGATATGAACATGCTTAACAAGCGCAACTCCTTTCTACCACTGTGATAAATGGCTACTAACTCATAATGTCGATTTTGTACTAGGTCAGAAAAAAACAAAGGTTAATTTGGTTGTTATTGTAACGGAGGAACCAATAATATAAGGACTCATGACATGTAAGTACGCAAGCACACTTTAAGCAAAGCTTATGGTAGCTTAAAATGCTTTTGGCTTAATCATGCCCAGTATTACCTAGCCTACAAGCCACTGGTTAAACCCCTAACCTAGAGACAATATCCATGAAACAGCACAACAAACTGCATCCAATCATTTCGGATGCTTTCCTCTTTCGGGTGGAAAGGAAGGGTTAACTCAATTCCAGTACAAAATTTGTTCTTCACACTACGAAGTTATCAAGCCAGAGATGACAACGCCTGTGCAACATTTCGTGATATCCGATCATGTATTGGTTCCTGAATGAAAAAGCCAAAAATTATGTTACAATAATCTCTACACAATACTCGTAACATGTTAAATTAAGTATCTTTATTTTTTACCTCTGTGGAGGGCAAATTGAATTTTGATTTTGTTATTGTCTCGTACAGGAAAATGTATCTGTCATCAAACAATAATATCAGTTTTAGTCGTAGTAGTAGTAGTAGTAGGTACAATAAGGGCAAGGGTAATTCTATTCTAGAAGGGGAAGACAGATAGGGGAGGAGGGGAAACCCAGGAAAGCGAGGGAGGAAGGAACGAAGGATGAATTGACATCAGCGAAACATTCCTAATCACAATATGAGCAGAGGGACGAAGGATTAAAGGACAATATATACTACCATCAGATACCCGTCCATGTTTTGCTTAGACAGAATACCCTAACAAACCCCTCATTAACAAGGTAGGAAAATCAGATGTCTTTCAATTAAGATGACATTCCATCATAAAATGCATTACCAAGTACAAATTTCTAACAAGTCAATTAGTAGTTTTTATCAAGTATTTTAGGATTTAAGTGGCTCGAATCTATAAGCTAAGCACCCTCCTGACCTGCTGGATTGGCTGGCCGGATTAACACTCCTTGTTTACATCCATGAAGCATGTAGAAGGCATTATAATAGAGTATACGATAAATTATGATAAGGGCACAGTAAAGAAGTGACATACCTCCAAGCTAGTTCACAAACAAGTTCCTCAGGAGCATCAGGGAGGACCTAAATTTTTGAATCAGAAGAGTGAGATTTGAAATTTTCACATGCAAACGCAAAAAAAGAAATATAATTGAACTTCATGTGCCTACCTCATCTTCGTAAGGATTGCAGTGATCTTTGAACCACAACCTCAAGAACTCCTAAAAATTAAAGATATAAACATCAGACAAAATGTAATTTGTCTATAAGATCATAAGATTAAAAGGGCGAATAGAACATAACAGTATCGATGCATTGCATACTTTATCAACATTTTCGGGTTCAAGACCATTCTGAAATCGCTCCTCATAAGTATGTGCAATCCAATATCTACTTGAATCAGGTGTATGCACCTACAATGGAAAG